ATTCAGCCGCTGTTGAAACTGATCAGTTTCAGCAGCGGCTGAATCTGGACGCCAGTTCCAACTTACATACAGATTCAACTTAAGAACAAACCTACAGTCCCTATCTTGTACGTAACCCGGGGACTGCCTGTATTGCCAACTCCCAGCATTCAAAATTCATGTCAGCCACCCCCAATCAAAAGTGGTTTAAAAATCAATAGAGACATAAAAATATTTTAAAGAGTTTTCTATTTGCTTTCAGGGTTTTGCTGCATTTGGGTCACATTTTTAAACTTTTCTCTGTAGGCCCTGAAGTCTAGAAACTTTTTAAAATTAACACTGAAATTCTCCCATAATCTCATAAATCCAGGAAATAGGGTTTTAAGAAAAACACTGAATACCACAAGACTCATAATAAAATTGTTAGAATTGATAACACTTAAGTTTACTTGTGTAGATGAATAAATTTATGAGCCTGCTTCTCCTCTCACATAAACTATGTAAAACAGGTGTAGCTCTAGTAAAGTTAACGGGTTTAATGCCAGTTTTATTCTATCATATAAATGAGAGGAATATCAGGCCTTATCCCAGGTTGCCTTGAAGTAACAGGGAAGGATTACTAATGTTAGTAGGATTTTTTTCCCAGAATGCTGCTTTTTATTATAAACCTACAAATCAAATGTCTGTTAAAAAATTCAGATATGATTTTTATGTCTCTTCTGTTCAAACAAAAACACTTTCTTGAAGAGCATGTATTGTTTATTTAAAAAATAAATAAATGTAGTGTTTGGAAAATCCATGGCAGTTGGCTGGGATGAGTGTTGCTGCTGTGAAGTGTCTTTTGAGAGCTGGAAGATGTTGGTTGTTGGGGGGAGAAACTTTGGGTGGGGGATGTGCAAGGAAATGAATAGAGGCAAGAATTGACTTAAAACAACAAGTTGTTCCATTATTCGTAAGGTTCCATTTTCCTTTAAAGAATAGGAGAAAGAGCAACAATCACATCCTGAAATTAAAACATGCCAAGTTAATCTTCTATAGAAAATAAGGCATGGAATTATTACAGTGAATAATTACCTCGGAGTCCAAAATGTTAGATTAAAAGTACTTCGATTACATCAGAACCATTTGTGGTGGGTAACATCTGCTGCAGAAGTAAAAGTGATTATGCTGTAAAAACGTTGGGTTTAATTTTTCCAGTAACGGAGCAGGAGATTTGCAGCAGACATAAATGCCATTTCTCTAGGACTGCTGAAATGTTTCTCATCCTCCTGCAATGATCTTGCATTTTTCTTACAGATCTGTGGGAAAACCAATGGGTATCCCCCTTGGAAGCAGAACAGGATACACAAGGTGTACACAGAGCACACAGACTAAATAGGACATTAGAGTCACATGCTATTTAAAAACTGAACAAAAATCACCCCTTAAGTCACAATCTAATGGTTTTATTATGTGACAAGTACGTTCAAAGCCAAACATATATAACGTGGCCCTTCCCCCAAGGAACCACAGCGCATACTTGACCTGTTGCTCTTGTAGCGTTGTATCCACTCTCCCTGCCCCTCGCCCTTTTCCAAGAAAGCAGTTATGCTGCTTTTTAAATGTCATTTTCTTGGCATTTAAATGGTTCCATTAAAGGGGCACTTTACCTGTGGGCACTGTGTGCTATTCTACTTGCTGTTGATCTTTGCCGAGCTGAGAAAATGCCATGGTCCTGGGGGTTTTATGCTGCTTGGGTTGGGTTGGGTTGGTTTGGTTTAATTTTTTTTTGATGGACAGGATATTTATAACCAGTTGCACCTTCTAGACTGTTGGGTGAGCTGCTTTGGGTCCATATATTGGCATGCTTATCTGTTTGTTTTTCCCCATAATTTATTCAAAGTTTCAACGATCCTTGTGACTGGTTGTGTGTTGCCTCCCTGCCTTGCATTTTAATGAAGGACATCACTCTTTTAGCCCCTCTCAGCATGGACAAGATGCTCTTTGTTTGCTCTGTTTATTCCTGCTTGGCCTACTTGTAGTTCTGGGCTTCCCCTGAGCAGCCCACTTCTGCTGAATGGAAAATGGGCTCTGTATGGATGCTTTGTCTCATTCAGTGTTGGATTGGGCTGTGCTGGGTAGTTTTATTGAGTGAAGGGTG